AGCTGTGCGGGGAGCGTCTTCATCCTCCAGCTGTGCGGGGAGCGTCTTCATCCTCCAGCTGTGCGGGGAGCGTCTTCATCATCCTCCAGCTGTGCGCCCTGAGACCGTTGTTTTACGCACAGCGTCTCCACACAGCTCTGCAGGACGCGCGCACAACTGCTGTGTGGGAACCCCTTCATACATTACAGTGCATAACATTTCAGACATAATAAATGAGCTTACAGTAAAAAAAAATAAATAAATAAAACGAGTGAAGTGTTTGATGTGTATTACATTAAGTATCAAAACAACGGCACTAATTAGTATGTATGTTTTATTTATTCATTTCATCCAAACAACAAATATAATACAATTTAAAGAAAAGAAAAAAGATATACAATCACAGAAATAAAATGAAAGGCAGCAGAAGAAGAATGAATCTTATAATATCTGCCCCTTGTCCCCAAAATATATTTCAAACAAAATTACTATACAAAAGCAAGATGAATTAATAAAAAAATAAAAAGATAAAAAAAACTAAAAAAAAACTTAGCTAAAATATAAGATCAACTGTAAACAATTTTTATGAACTCACATTATACTTAATATTTAAAAAAAAATTTTTTTTATCATCCTCTTGAATATGTACATAGTTTTGGCATTTTTCATATCAACCTCCAGATCATTCCACAATCTAATACCCTGAGATCTAGTGGATCACATCTTCAGACTGGTGCGACACCACGGCTTCACAAACATCTCCATCCCCTTAAGATAATAATTACTTTCTCTTTTAACAAATTTCCCTTGAATGTTAGTAGGTAGTATGTTTTTGTTGGCCCCATACATAAACAGTAAGATATTGTAATCAACCAAGTCATAAAATTTTAATATCTTTAGCTGATGAAACAATATATTTGACGGATGGTTATAATCTTTTCTGGTAATAATTCTTATGGCTCTTTTCTGTAAAATAAAAATTGGATTTGTAATTGTTTTACATGCTTTACCCCAGACTTCAATACAGTAAATTAAATGTGGAACAATAATGGCATTATACAATAGAAACATTGCTTTATCATTGAATAACTCTCTAACTTTGTACATTACTGCAATCGATTTAGTTATTTTAGTTCTTAAGTTTTTTACGTGAGATCTCCATGTTAGTTTTTCATCAATGATGACACCCAGAAATTTCACCTCATTGACTCTATTAATTTCAATTCCATCGACTCTAAATGGAGTATCAAGCACTTTCTTGTTATTACTAAAAATCATATAATTTGTTTTATCAACATTTAAAGATAATTTGTTTAGTTGAAACCAATTTTGTATTTTCACAAATTCTGTTTGTGCCATCTTCAGCATTTGCACAACATTTTCACCCACACAAAGAAAAGTTGTATCATCTGCAAACAAAATACATTTAAAAAATACAGTCACATTTACCAGGTCATTCACATATAAAATAAATAGCTTAGGTCCAAGTATAGAGCCTTGAGGCACTCCACATGTAATATTACAGAATTCAGATTTTACATCATTTATTTGAACAAATTGTTTCCTTTGTTCTAGATAACTAGATACCCAGTGCAATGCATGCCCTCTAATTCCATATTTATTTAGTTTTTTGAGAAGAATATTGTGATCAATAGTATCAAATGCTTTCTTTAGATCAACATAAATACTAATACAATATTTTTTTTGATCGTTATCTGTTCCATTAAATCCATGAGTGCCATTGAAGTAGAATTTTTAGGTCTAAACCCATATTGACTATTACTTAATATATTTTGCTTATTGATAAATTCATCTAATCTAGTGACAAATAATTTCTCTAAAATCTTTGAAAATTGTGGCAACAACGATATTGGCCTGTAATTATTAAACACACGTTTCTCTCCACTCTTATATAATGGTATGACCTTGGCTATTTTCATGTTATTTGGAAATACCCCTGTTGAAAATGATAAATTACATATATATGTAAATGGCTCAATAACATAACTCATAATATTCTTTACCAGCATCATATCCATGTCCATCCAGTCTTTTGATTTTTTATCTGCAAGATGTTTTACGGTAGTCATAATTTCTTCTTTATCAGTTCCCCCAAGAAAAAAACTGTTTGTGTGATCTGTAACCGTATGGTTTACATTTTTATCTATATTTGGGATTTCTGCTGCCAGACTTGGGCCAATATTCACAAAATGTTCATTGAATCCATTTACGGTTTCATTTTGGTCATAAATGTCTTTGTCATCTTTTACAAAATATTGTGGAATGCTCGATTTTGTTTTATGATTATTCAGAACACTGTTCATTATTTGCCATGTTGCCCTCATATTACCATTACTTTGGTCTAATAATTCACTGTAATATTTCTTTTTATGCTTTCTTATAATCCCTACCAATTTATTTTTATAATTGTTATATCTCTGTTCTGCTTCGTTTGTTCTTAACTTCAGAAAGTTTGAGTATAAGTAGTTCTTTTTTTTACAAGCATTTCTTAACCCTTTGGTCATCCACGGTTTGTCATCAACACGTTTCTTTGTGTAATTTTCTTGTACACAATTTTTTTCATACAAAGCTCCTAAAATATTCATAAATACATCATATGCTTTGTTTACATCATCAACATATACATCCTTCCAATTTTGCTTTGTTAAATCTTCTTTTAGTTTATCTAGAGCTTTCTTTGATGTGTTTATTATTTTTTTCATAATTTTATCTACTTTCACATCATATTGATCTTTTTTATAGATAGTGAAGACTGGTAGGTGGTCACTGACATCCGTGATCAAAATGCCACCCATAAGTTCTTTATTAGTTATATTTGTAAAAATGTTGTCAATTATTGAAGCACTATGGGCAGTAATTCTTGTGGGTTTTGAAATCAATGGATAAAGATTTAAACTGTGCATTTGGTTTATGAATGTTCCGATATTATTTGAGTCTGTTTTATTTCCCAGGTCTATGTTAAAATCTCCATAGTCAAAATAGTCAAAATAACAGCGATCAAAATGTTGAAAAGACAATGTATCTAAAATAAATGGATGGATGGCAGTGAGACTGGAGCAGAACACACAGGACTGAATTCAGCTGAGAAGAGTTCAGGTCGGCAGAGTGTGTGTGTGTGTGTGTGTGTGTGTGTGTGTGTGTAGGACACCTGACAGACTGTCAAGGACGTGCATTCATACACAGGCACAGTAATTTCAATTCAACCTTTATTTATACAGGTTTAGACTTGAGCCTTGTCAAGAGAGACCTGTTTTAACCAGTTTATTCAAATGTTTAACAACCTGTTAAAATACACCAAAATGCAGGAAATGGCATCTTTTTTATTCCATTTTTTCTGGGGGAGGACACGCGGACCCTATATTTAAATATATACTATATTACACCACTAGATGTCACTGAAATGAACCTTTGAATGAATGAACCCAAGTTCAATACAACTGGCAAAGTGGTTCAATACTGCTTTATTGCTTCATTTGGCCATCACTGCCGGGGCCCTCGCGCTCTCCTGTGGGTCGGCAGCACGGAGGATACTCTTTGGTGACGCCCTGCCGGCCTGAGGGAGCTCCGAGGCTCCAGTGGAGAGGACCGGGGGGCCGGCAGAGCTCCATCTAGCTCGCTCTGAATTTTGTTGTCGGCCACCAAACACAAAACACGCCTGCACTTCAGCATTAGAGCACGGTGCTGTCATTACTTATATAGATTAAAAAAAAGGTTTGCATGCTCAATCATCCACGTAGATGACAAAAAAATGTTCAATCATGTCATCTGGACCAGTTTCTTTAAGTGAGAAACAATTCATCTTCCACCTGGAAGACTTCATCAGTCTGCGGCCTGCCAACCAGTTCGGTCCCAGTAGCCTTCATTGCTGAGTTTCCAGCCAACTTCCTGTTGGAATGTCAGAGGCCTTGGTGTCCTCAGGCTGTTTCTGTGAGCAGCAGGTTGACCATCTGGCCTAACGTTTGTTAATCATGATGATTGATCGTAGTGGACGGATGGGTCCTGTTGCACGTGTTAAAAGCTTCTGAGATTCCAACAGGAAGTTGGCTTGAAACGGAAATGAAGGCTACTGGGACCGAACTGGTTGGCAGGCCGCAGACTGGTCGTCTTCTGATGGAAGATGAAACGTTCCTCCCTTAAAGAAACTGGTCTAGTTTAATGATTTAACCTTTTGTTGTCATTCTTGTTTTTAAAATCTTAAATAGGCCCAGTCGCTCCTCCGAGGTCAAGTTATTGTAAATGGTGGATCAGGTTGTTGTGAAAGTTGCTGAAACAACCAGTGACTCCACCCCCTGACCAGTCAGTGACCGACAGTGTTCTGACGTCACGTTTTAAGGTCAGCACGGAACGCTCGGAACCAGAGCAAGTTCTGAAAAGGGGGCCGGTCCCATGAACCATTGCTAATGGAAAAGGCCCATATGTCCCTGTGATGGACTGGAGACATGTCCAGGGTGTCCCTGTGATGGACTGGAGACATGTCCAGGGTGTCCCTGTGATGGACTGGAGACATGTCCAGGGTGTCCCTGTGATGGACTGGAGACATGTCCAGGGTGTCCCCCGCCTCTCACACAGGGACTACTGGATATGGGCACCAGTGACCCGAAAAGGAAGAAGCGGGTAAAAATAACAGATAGCAGTTTGATTAAAATTTTACTAACACATGAAATTATGTTTTACTCAAACAAAAAGAACAACAAAAAAACGTTTTCATAGCTTAACAAATGTTATCAACCTTAAACAGGAGAGACTTGGAGTAGAACCGCTGCTCCTCCACATCGAGAGGAGCCAGTTGAGGTGGTTCAGGCATGTTCGACTGGGAGGAGACCCAGGACACGCTGGAGAGACCCCGTCTCTGTTGTCCTGGGAAGACCTTAGGGTCCTCCCAGAAGAGCAGGAAGAGGCTGTGGAGAGAGATGTCTGAGCCTCTCTGCTCAAACTGCTGCCCCGCGACGTGTCTTTGGAAAGAGTGGAAGACAATGGATGGAGATCAACCTTAAACAACTTTAATGTGTGGACAGGACAATGAGAGGACAACGGAGCGCTACCTCTGTAGCTTTTTAGCTAGCGAGTCAGTATTCTGTGCCGCTAGCTTAGGGGCGCAGTTCGGTGGGCAGGGCGTCCTCCTTGGACAATGGTGGAGGAAACACTGCAACCCCAGTGGCACATAAACCCAAAGTGTTCACAAGTGATCCAAAAGATGAAGACGACCCAGTTCCAAGGACGCGCTGCGGTACTCTCGCTGGGTTTAAGAACCCTTTATGTGCTTGACAGTTTTGCTCGCTGGAGGAACAATCTCCATGACGAAAGGGACAAAGAACTCCAGGACAGATTTGACATCTTTTAAGTCCAGGGAATACTCCTGTGCGATCTTTTCAGGCGTCCAGGTCTGAGGATAGTGCTGGTGACTGCCCAGGGCCCGGAGCGCCTCAACCAGGGTCACTTTACCTTTAGGGACATCTGTGAGTTCTATTACACCGGCCATCTTGACAGGAAAGCTGAACTTGATGGGCCTGCACTGGGATTGTTCCACTACAGTCGCTGCCTTGGACCCCTGGGGAGAGGGAGAGAAAGAATCATTTCCCTCACAAGAGCAGACACTTAGGACTGGACTCATTTCATACGAACCTTTCAACAGATCCTGGAACTGAAAAACACGTGCACATGTTTGCACTCTTTAACATAAAAAAACACAAATGTCACTGAAATAACTTGACCAAAAGTATTACTTTTTTTTTTTTTTTACTAAAAGCCATCCAATGAAAATCAGTCAATGCTTTGAGTTTTAAGTTCAATCTAATTATTAAAGAAGCAGCAGCTCAGCTGGCCTCAACAACACAATCATTTGACCTTGACGTGTCGTGTGAGGGTCGTCCTGCAGGGGTGGACATTTTAAAAATCACTGGTGGAGAAAAATGGATTAACCAGCCACTCCTTTTACCAGACATGTTTTCTGTTTTGTGTTAAAACTCTTTCCTTTGGCTACAAACCACACCAGTACATTATATAAAACATATGATTTAATCTCAGCTCTGTGAGACAAAACATTTACAGTGAAGTTGACCACACGCATGTTCTTACACTGACTGCACATGATGAACACCTGAACAGCTGTGAGGTGCAACATGTTCCTTCAAGTCATTACTAACCAACAGGCCGACCTTCACAAAGTGCTTTCATTACGTTGTGGCTTCTCCAGCCCCGATCAACCGACTCTGATCAGACCCTGATGGTTTTTACTTCCTGTTGTGCATGAACTCAGGCCGCCCTGGTGCCACAGCTGGACGGCAGGTGTGGGGTCAAAACCCTGAATGGAGGGGGTTGACAGACCACGTTTCTCCTGGTTTAGCCTCCCTGCACAGCCCGTACATTCCACGATTCAGGTTTTAATCCTTTTATTTGCTTTTAAATATCTTAATGGTCTTGCCCCGCCCAGTCTATCTGTCCCAGTTGCTGCATCCCCCCTCCGGATCCATCAGGTCACGTGACCAGCTGCTCCTGAGCGTGAGCTGAGACCGTGCTGCTGCAGCTCCTGGACTGTGGAACCACCTTCAATGAACATCAGACTCTTCTGTCTGATTTAAATCCCTTCTTGAAAGCAGCTCTTCTCCCTGACCTGACATTTTGATTTAATCATTTTAATTATTGTTTTATTACGAGTACAGCTCTTTGGTCCTGTGGGCGTTTAAAGTGCTCTATAAATAAAGCTGTGGGGGACAGACCCCTGTGGACAGGAGGACAGAACCCTGTGGACAGGAGGACCAGAACCCTGTGGACAGGAGGACCAGAACCCTGTGGACAGGAGGACCAGACCCCTGTGGACAGGAGGACAGACCCCTGTGGACAGGAGGACCA